TTTTACTTCTTATATGGGAGATGTTTTTATACATCAAGTTTTCGGATTTTTATTGCAACTAAAAATATAATGAAATATATCAACATGCTAGGTAATTTTGGCAAAATTTGTAATTTGCGTTGCTTTAGTAAAGGTTCTTATACCATAGTTAAATTTTTTTAACTTAACCTACCTTTTGACATGTCCCAAATAATTATTGAGAACTCATTGCCATATTTTCTAGGCACACACTTTACGAGGGCCGGCCCAAGCACAGGGCGAGCTGGGCCACGGCCCAGGGTATCAAATTCTGGTGGGACGTCAATTTTTCAAAGTCTGTTATAGGTATTATTGTATATTTGGGTCACATCTAGTCGGCTAATCCAGTAAGAGATCCATCCCCACGTCAAGACGTCAATGGCAACAGATGGAGACCTAATTAGCGCCAACTAAAATCAATTTCGCATGGTGACTCTTCGATCTAAACACACGCCTAATAATTGAAGATGAAGAACACGAGGCGTCCCTTCTGGAGAATGGAGATAGACGATTAGAATTTAAAATCATGATCTAGTCCTCTATCGATCGCTCTACTGTCTCGTCCGCTTCAACGCTTCTCTCGCCCTCTCTCTCGATCGCTTCTCTTATGTTCTTTCTTTCTTTCTAAATCCTGAATCGTCCTCTACTATCTAAATCTGTAATAGTTTATCTATTGCTCTAAATCTGTTGTGTTAAAGTGAAGATTCAAAGGTGCGATATTGTGATTGAATGAATTCATCCTCCAAAGTCCTAATCCAGTAAGTTTTTTCTAGTATTTCAAATTTCTTGCATAACCTACTTGAAGTTTTGAAAATCTGATAGTGATTACCGGTTAAAATTTATGAAATTTCAGTTTTCTTATATAGCTTAATGGCTAAAATTTATGAAATTTCAGTTTCGAAAATCCTGAATCTCTAGTGGAGGAGTGAAATTATCGATCAAATTTATGAAATTTCAGTTTCGAAAATCCTGAATCTCCAGTGGAGGAGTGAAATTATCGATCAAGGTTGCAGTCTTGTTGATCCTGAACTACACTAAGCTTCATTAATTTGCTAGGTAATTTTTTTCTTCTATTTCTTGTAACTGCTCTGATTTATGATCAAAGTAACTTTGATTGTTTTTATATGATCTGAAATCTGATAAGTTATGTCCATTTGACAATTTCTGATTTTGATAAGTTATATCTATTGCTAAATGTGATAAGTTATGTCAATTTCTGAATTAAGTTATGTCAATTTCTGAAATCTGATATAGTGATATGTGAATTTTGATTTTTTCTGATTCTGACTGACTGGATGTATATAGTTTGATAAAGTGATAATTTTTTTTTAATTCTGATTTTTGAAAATCTAATGTATTAGTTTTCTAAAAATATGATGTCTAAAAAACTAAAATGTAAATTCTGATTTCGAAATTATTATATTAAAAAATTGATGTATTTTTTTCTAAATAATGATATGGTTTTCTGAAATCTAGATAATCTTATGTATATAATCAGAAATTAAATTTTAATATGTAAATTATGATGTTGAAAAAGTGATGTGTTTTTGATTTTTGAATAATATGTTGTTAATTTAATTTCTGAAAATCTAAAAGATACTATTTTTTTTTGTTTAGGTTGTGGATATAGATTGATAACTTCAAGTTGTGGATACGGATTGCTAACTTCAGGTTGTATCATTCTTTGTTGTTACTATATCTTTTTGACTTTAATTTTATTTTTTTTGTGAATTTAAATATGTTTCCTAGAAAACAACCATCTGGTGCTCAAAATAGAAAACAAAAACGAAGAGAACAAGATCTTACTAATAAATTACAAGGATCTTTAAATAAGTATTTTGTTAGAAGTCAAAATAATGATGAAAATTCTAATGATGTTGAAACTAATGATTTTGTTGATAATTCTAAAGGCCCAATTGAAACTTCTAATGAACCTATTGAAAATTCTAATGATCATGAAAATAATGATTTTGTTGATAAATCTAGTGATATTAATATTTTTGATCTAAGAGTAAGGGATAAGTTAGATTTAAAAATGAAAGATTTGCTTGTAGAAAAAAAACCTATTAGGGAAATTGAAAATAACAATTTTTTTCCAAAAAATGCACTAGGTAGATATTTTTCTTGTGAATTTTATGTTCGTAAATTAAGGAACGGTGACTCTTACGATAGAAAGTGGTTGGTGTATTCGAAAGAACTTTATAAAGTGTTTTTTTTTGTTGTAAGTTATTTAAAACAGCTCGATCTAGAAGTAACTTGGCAACCGAAGGAATTAACGATTGGAAACATCTTAGTGAAAAATTGAATGAACATGAACATAGTTCTGAACACATGATTAATTTAAAAACTGTGATACAAACACGACTTAGGTTAAGAAAAAATGAAACAATTGATAAAGAGTTACAAGAAAAAATAAAAAAAAGATACTCAACATTGGAAATAAGTTTTATTGTTGTTGTAAAATGTTTAGCTGAATATAACTTGGCTTTTCGTAAAACTAATGAAAAAATATGTAGAAATATAATGGTAACTTTTTAGGTGTACTTCAAATGATTGTTGAGTTTGATCCAGTAATGAAACATCATTTTCAACTTATTCAATATAAAAAAAAAGTCAATTTTATTACCTTAGTCATAAAATTCAAAATGAAGAGTAAATTACACAAATGGTCCCTATGGTTGGGGTAATTTGCGCGTTTGGTCTATAACTTATTTTTTTAACTCGGAAGGTCCCTACTATTTGTTTTTGTTACGCGCTTGGTCCCTACTGTTTATTTTTGTTACGCGTTTGGTCCTTGTCTTACCTAAAAAAACTATTATTTAAATAGGGAAAAATGATGGGGTAGGTAAGGTAAGGTGAGGGGTGGGGTTGGGGGTGTGTTTATTTAAATAAATTAAAAAATCAAAGACAAAATAGTCTTTTTAGGTAAGACAGGGACCAACCGCATAACAAAAACAAACAGTAAGGACCTTCCGAGTTAAAAAAATAAGTTAGGGACCAAACACGTAAATTACCCTAAACCATAGGGACCATTCGTGTAATTTACTCCAAAATGAATTAATTGAAGTGTTGGCATCGGAAGTAAAAAGTGCAATTATTAGAAAAATAAAAAATTCAAAATATTTTTCGATAATTCTTGATTGCACTCCGGATGCAAGTCGTAAAGAGCAAATGACTTTGATTATTAGATGTGTTGATGTTGCACGTGTTCCAATAAAAATAGAAGAGTTTTTTTTTAAGTTTTTAATTGTAGAAGATACATCTGGTGTATGACTTTTTAATGTTTTACAAAATGCTTTAAAATCTCTTGACTTGGATATTAATTGTATCGGAGGACAAGGATATGATAATGGAGCAAATATGAAAGGCAAACATCAAGATGTACAAAAAAGATTCATTGATATAAACTCAAGAGTTTTTTATATGCCTTGTGGATGTCATAGTTTAAATTTAGTTTTGTGTGATATGACAAATTTTTGTCATAAAGCTAAAACTTTTTGTGGTACTTGTCAAACAATATATAATGTTTTTTCTAGCTCCACATATAGATGGAGTGTTTTACTTGAGCATGTTAATGAGTTAACCCTAAAATCATTGTCTACTACTCGTTGGGAAGTCACATTGAAAGTGTTAAAGCAATAAAAACTCAACTTTTTCAAATAAAAGAAGCATTAAAAAAATTAGCTCAAGTGAGTGATGATGGTAAGGTTTGTAGAGATGCGAAATCATATTAGTAAATTGTGAAATTTTTAATTTTGAATTTATTCTAAATTTAGTGATATGGCATGAAATTTTATTTAGAATTAATTTGGTAAGTAAAAAATTACAATCCAAAGATATGATTCTTGATGTTGCAATAAAAAACTTAGAGGGATTAATTAATTATTTTGAAAAATATAGGGAAAATGGATTTGACTCTACTATTAATGAAGCTAAAGAAATAGCAGAAAATATTGGAGTTGAACCAAAATTTCCTATCAAACGTGTTTATAGTAGAAAAAAACAATTTGATGAAGTTTCAAATACCGAAAGCGAACAACAATCATCTCAAAAAAATTTTAGAGCTGATTATTTTATTGTTATAGTAGATATGACTCTAACTCAATTGAGAAGTAGATTTGAGCCAATGTAACATTTTGAATCTATTTTTGGATTTTTGTTTGATGGTTCAAAGTTAAAATCTTTACTTGATGATAAATTAAAAAAATGTTGTAAGAAACTTGAAACTAGTTTGACAAATGGTGAGGAACTTGATATTGATGGAAAAATATTTATTTATGGAGTTACAAGTTTTGCAGGAAATGTTGCTGGATGAAGCATACAAATGTGAACTTCCTTGGCCAGCTATTCAAATTATGGAGTTTTCAAAGGAAATGGACATGTTTCCCGATGTGTTGGTGACATATAAGATTTTGTTGACGGTACCGGTCACGGTTGCTTCCGCGGAAAGAAGTTTTTCGAAATTGAAGTTATTGAAATCATATCTTCGAAGTACCATGACTCGAGAAAGATTAAATGGATTAGCAATGTTGAGTATTGAACGTCAATTCTTACGAAGTCTTGATTATGATAAAATAATAGATCTTTTTGCTTCAAAAAATGCAAGGAGGCATCGTTTTAGATGAATTTTATGTATGTTTTTGTTTGTATAACCTTGTTTGGTTTGACTATAAAATTTATTTCATTTTTGCTATTTTTTTAAATAAATAAAGACATTAATTTAGAATCTCGCCCCGGCATTGAAAATCAATGGACCGGCCGTGCACTTTACCAACATGCAATATGCTAGACTAATTATTTTGAACGGGTGTCATGATGTTTTTTTTTTCTTTGCTGATGACATTGCGTTTATGACAAAGACTAGGCCGGAATTAAATCCTTAGTCGAATAACATAAGCCTTAGATACTTGTATAGTTGTATTATTAACCTCCGATTAAATAACCTTTTTTGAGAAGTAAACCTTAGCAATTACATGTCCATGTTAGTAAAATATTCTTTTTTCATATGAACCAATAACATCTCCAACATTGAATTTTATACTCACCCATTCAGGATGCAACCTATCTCCTCCTCCTGATGCAAACCCCCAAACTTCACCACCCTCAATCACACTACTACACCCAACTTCTTTCCTTGCCTTTTTACTTCTCATCATCTCCTTCACTTCCTCAACATCAACCCATCTCTTCTCACTAGCATACAAATTCCTCAATGTAATATAATTCCCATCATTCCAATACTCCTTCCCATGGGTTTTCCTCAAAATCCTCTCACCCCTTTCAGCATCCTTCACATAACCACAAGCAGACAAAAACGAACTCAAAATAATCTCATTAACTTTAAATGGCATATCATCCATTAACTTCTCAGCTTCATCTAAACACCCAGCTCTCCCCAAAAGATCAATCATACAACCAAAATGCTCGATTGTTTGAGCAACTCCAAATTCTTCCATTCTTTTGAACCATTTCATTCCCTCTTCCACCATGCCACTATGGTTACAAGCTGATAAAACACAAATCATGGTTACCTCATTCGGATTCACTCCATTTTTACACATTTCAAGAAACACATCCAATGCTTCTTTACCAAACCCATTAACAGCAAACCCATGTATCAAAGCATTCCATGTGGCAGTTTCTTTAACATTCCAGGACTGAAAAACCTCTCGTGCTTTTATAAACTCCCCACATTTCGCATACATATCGATTAACGCAGTGCAAATGTTACTTCCTCTATTCATCTTCTTTCTCATCACAAACTCATGAACACACTTACCCAAATCCAAAGCTCCTAAATCAGCAATCGCAGGAAGAACACTCACAATTGTTACATTATCAGGTTCAAGTGAGGGTTCTGATTGTAATTCTTGAAATAATTTCAATGCCTCGTTTGGTTGTTTATTCTGGTGATACCCTTTAATCATTGAATTCCAAGAAACTAGATTTTTCTGAGGCATGGTGTTGAAAAGTGTCCTAGCTGTATCTACATCACCATGATTACAAAACCCATCAATCATACTAGTCCATGAGACAACGTTTTTGTCCAACATCTCATTGAACAAAATACTAGCTTGTGTCATGTCTCCTACCTTGACATATGCATCAATCATTGCATTGAATGCGGGTGTGTCCTTCTTAGGCATCTGGTTGAAAAACATTCTTGCATTGTCTATTTCTCCACACTTTGCATACCCACTGACTAATGCTGTCCAAGAAACTTGACTTCTTTCAGGCATTTCATCGAACAGTTTCTGTGCACAGTTCATCTGTCCTAGTTTTGCATACATGTCAACTAATGATGTAGCTACAAACATGTTATGTACAAAACCTTCTTTAACAACATGGTTGTGAACTTGTTGGCTTCTCCGGGCATCCAAAGTTGAAGTGCACAGCTTTGCCAAAGTCAAGAACGTATAACCATCAGGTTTAAAATTACCCTTTCTCCTTAACTCCATGTACAAACTCAAACATTCATCATACTGGTGAATACCGAGATGAGCTCTCATCATGGTGTTGCTGACAAAGGTGTCGTGTTCGTCAGGCATATGATCGAACAGTTTGTGGGTATGTCGTATGAGATTGGTTGCATCTTCTGACGAGGTAGTGAATCGTTTAGCAGCTAAGGAGGAACAGGTGGTGATGAATTTGGCAAGAATGTTTTTGTTCTTGTAAAGAGAGTTTCGTAGTATGAAAGCGTGGATTTGGAGGAGGCGAGCTTTGGTGGTGGTGGTGTATTGGAGGAGATGGATACATGTTCGTTCCGTTGAGCTCCAAAGACCTCCTAATTGATTCTTATCATCACCCGTCATCAACTTCAGTGAACGATCTTCGCAAACTAGTATTACAATTCAGATTTTCACTGTGTTATTTTTTGTCCTTGGGCAGACACATCACCTGTACAAAAACCATGTCACATTGATTTCTCCCACCAAGATTCAAGAACACCAACCTACGGGAATGCGAAATTATCATCAATTAGAACTTTTGAAGCAAAGTTTTTGTTTTTGCATTTAAATGAAAAACAAAAAAAATCGTTGAGGCATTTCATAAAACGGTTCATGTGCATATTTAACAACAAAGATGTTTAAAAGAGAAATCATATGCTCATAAAAGAATATTGGATTTTGGATTTTACAAAGTCAAATAAAATTTAATAAAAACAAGCAATACCTACCTGTAATTTAAGCGATGAAGCAACAACTCTTCTGATTGTCAAGAACGATTCTTACTGCTTCTCCACCGGGCCATGGCCCATGTTGCCCTCCCATTGGGCTGGGCCGGCTGTTGGTCTTGCCATACACTCCAATCAACGTTCTTCCAACGTTATTTTTTCAAGAACTTACTCATTAATAATTTTTCTCTTGATAATATGTAATACTATAATATACTACCAGGCATCTATGCCCATGTACTGTGTAAAAATGATGTTTGTTAATGCTTACAAAAAAAATGTTGTATGAACAAATATTGATTTTGTTTCATCTAATGACAATAAACGATATTCTAGCAACGTTACCAAATGCAAAATATTCCCAAACCGCTCCTCAATTTCCGTATTTGAAGCAAGTATAACAACCATCTTTGAATCCACTTCACAAATGCGATTATTAAGCTCCTTATGGGTCATATTATTGGTTCCCTTTTTAAATGTTTCAACCTATCTATATATGTAATAATGTAATAAACCAAAAGTGAATCTACTCCACTTTCGGATTCAAAAAGACTACATTCGTTTGAACCAAATAACAAATCCTTCCATCTCCATCCACAAATGGAAGTATTCAGAAAGGAATAGGCCACAGTCAACAACAGAATGATTTTTTTCCAAATCAACAACCAATGATCCGAATGTAAAAGACCAAAACCGGTCATACTCTTCCAAAACCCAAAAAACAATCGGTTCAACTCATCTTCAACCCATTTTTGTTTAGAATCAGTTGACATGTATGTTGAATATAGAAATCATCAAGTACTTGAACATAGAAGATGTTCAAAAAGTTCTTCATGTCGGTCTATTGGAGTCAACAAATGACTTGTTTGTAAACTTCTTAGAATTTTCTCTTTCAATTTCATTATCTTTTGATAAGTTTGGTTTACAAGCATATTGATATGACTAAGTATTATACTACTAGGTGTGAGACCGTGTATTACACGGGTTTATTAAAAATAAAAATTTAATATCAATATATAAACATGAAATATTTTATAAAGTAATACTTTACATAACAAAATGTAATATTTTAAAACATTTGCAAAATAAATTAAATCGTTTGGAGTATTTATGATAATTTATTATCAAATTAATAGGATGATTTTATTTCCTTATAGAATCCTATAAAATTTTATGGAATTTTATTTTAAGAAAATGGAAATTCCTAAAAAATGACAAGTGGAAAATAAAAATTTTAAAACTCCCACAAAATGACAAGTGTCAAAATGAAGGAAAAGATGACATGTGGCAAAAAAAAACCTTCATTTATTAGAGAGGATTTAATATAAGTTATCAAACGAATAATGATCATTTTAAGATATTTATGATTAAATATAACTGGAAGTTTGAAACTATACTAGTATTTCTATCAAGTATTATTAATACTATGGACGACGGTGAGTGGAAAACCGTCGTCCAAATCACAACCCTTAAAACTCAAGAAACTTTTAATCTGAGCCACTTAAACTCAATTTTTGCGGTTGTGTGCGGTTCATCAATCAGTTTCGACGACCCTCCTCCTTCTTCTCCCCCACGTTCCCTCACAGTCCATAGTTTCTCCTCCCACGTTCAATTGGTGTTCAGTTCCTTCCAAGACATGGTAGTTCTCCTTCAACCAAAATAACACACGACTTCCTCTCCCCGATGTCTCATCTCTGTAATCGGTTTCCTCCTCAACCTCAAGATGAAATCCCCTTCCTAACTTCCATTCAGGGTGTGTTTCTCCGTTGTTCAGATCAACAGGATTTTCAAAGATGGAATTGGTCTCTCTCTTTCTCGAGTAAATTGTTGCTATATTGATTTAGGTTTTCCATTATTGTTCCCTGGTTGTTGAATTTTGTTTTGTGTTTCATCTATCCATGAGTTTTAATGTCCAATGGCACCCGGGCAACAACTATCTGCAAATAAGGTATGCAATTTCACTATATCATCTATTTAACTATTTGGTTTATTTTCCCACTGATTTGAATGGAGTTTGTGTCTATTGAATGATCATTTGTATGTTTGTGTCTCGGATACGTCTCTCTCGCTAGGGTTTCAATTCTCGATTTGCGATAATTTTCGACAATATACTCAACTCCAGGTAATCTTTTTGGTTTCATTTTTTTATTATTGTTTTGTATTGATAAAGAAACACAGGTTCCTTTTTATTTTGTTTGAATGGCCCTTTGTAAGTCCAAAAAATGGAGCTTGGTTTTGTTGAGTTCCCCTTTACTCTCAATTTTGATTTCTCGAATTCCTTTATCCAACTTTTTGAGTGTTAGGTCAATTCAATTGAAGATTGTATAGCCAACTGGAGTTCAATTCACTAAATTGTGGGGTTTAATTCACTATGCAGGTACCTTTCCATGATTTTAATTACATTTATATGTCTTATCTTTCATATTTGCATTTTTTATTTTCCTAATATGATCGGTTGTGTATCTTGCCATATTTTTAATAAAAATATAAAGATTTAGATCAATGTTGTGCTAATTGATTATCTTTTTGTTGTTTTTTCATCATACCTTATCTTTATTATATGTTTTGTGGGATGAAGGTTCAAATCTTGAAGCTTTTGCAGCCAGGAGCTTCTACCCTTCTTTTTTTAGAAAGTTTTGTTTGATTACAAAATTCAATGCATTGTTGACCGTATGAAGTCTTAAAATGGCCGAGAGAGCATTTCTATCTTGGATTCAGAAGACAACTGAAAGTAAGGAATGACACTACATGGAAAAGACGATTATTAGTTCATAAAACATCCTCGATTCTCAAAACATCTCATCAGTTGTTTAGTTTTTGATGAGTTCTTCATCTTCTAAACCTGTAAACAAGATTATTGGCTCTTGATAGAGGGGAATGACTCTATAGGGAAGAGACGATTAGCAATGGCAATTGCAAGAGACATGTTTGCTTTTGCTTGATTTCTTTTGTGCTTTAACATGAGGGGTTCTGTTTCAAGATGCAAAAATCATGAAAGGGCATTAAAAGGTTGAGAATATTGTTGTTCTGGTGGAAGGTGCTGATTTTTTATATGGGAAGTTCTTCAAATCTTCAATTGGTGGATTTAAAAAAAGGAAATTTGGAGAAAATGATCGAAGTTACATTCTTTTTGAGTAGGGGTGATCATCATCATCTTGATGATGACAGATAAGAATATGTACATGGCTGCACCAGCTCTGTTGGGTGGTGGTGGTGAATTAGATTGGTGTGCTAAACACATAAATGCAATTTTGAACATTGGTGGTAGATGGGCTTTTTTTTTTGCTGAAGCCAAAGATATTGCATTTGTCAGGTTTATATTTATACATGTAAGTATGTAACATTGTAAATTTTCAAACAAAATTTTCATTTTTGAAAATCACGTAATTCTCATAACATAGTTCACAAAACCCCAAATGAAAATATTTTCAAGAACACCAAATCAGAAAAATGTTTTAAACATAATCCAGGATCCTCTAAATATGACTTCGCCTCGTGTGTATAATCAAGTCGGCGCCTTCCCGTGATACTAAGAAGTACCTGAAACGCATAACACATAACACGGTAAGCACGAAGCTTAGTGAGTTCCCCAAAATACCACACACATCACATTAGCCACTCAAAGCTAACTCAATATGACCCTCCGGTCAATGTGTCTTAGTGGGGACCCTCCGGTCCCACAACTCAGTAAGTTCATAATAATAATAATACTCAGCATAAATCACAAAGACATAATACAGGATATCACAATACGCAAGTAAACACATAAGGCATCTCGGTCACACAAAGATACCACTCATGGTAAGTATAGTGAGAAGACTCACCTCGCAAGAAATTTGGATAACCTTGAACTCGAATCACCGGTCTAGCCTCCGCCTAACACATACGATAATTATCCCTAATTAATAGCGGCTCTCAAAGAAGCTAAACTAACCCTTCTACAAGCTCACAGAAGGGTAAAAGACCGTTTTACCCCTCCATGGCCTTAATAGCCCACAAATGGACCAAACCCTAAAAGTCAACTAAAAGTCAACGGCAGCGCGTACGCCGCGCGTACCAGACTCCTACGTTGGGCGTACTCCGACGCCATGCATGCATTGAGGATTTCCGACCCTACGCTGCGCGTACTGGGATTACGCTCAGCGCACGTCTCAGTTTTGCTCTTCCTACTCATTTGGTCTTAATTCATTAAGACCTTAGCTCATATCACAGATCTGGACTCCCTAAGGGCTCTTACTCCATAAAGTCTGTGACTTTAAGCCTTTGCATGGCTGATAAAGTCACAAACACCCAAAACTCTCATTCTCTTATCTCAAAATGCTCATATCTCATGCATGGGTTGATTCACACGTCTAAGTCTCGATTTTTATGACACTATATCACTAAAGACACTCAAATGAGCTGATCATAGTCTCTGGAGCTCAATATCTCATAAAGCATCCAACTTTGGGACCAAAACCCTAAAATGGTATAACATGATGCACAAAACAAAAGAGTGAGAAAGCTTTGAGCTTTATACCTCCAAATGAAGCTCCCAACACAGATATGCTCAGATCTAAAGCCTGGAATCCCACTCCTTCTTCCTCAAGGCTCCTTCTTCACTCCAAAGAAACACAAAATCACTCAAATGCTCTCAAA